CAGGGGCAGCCTCCCTGCAGCAGAATCTGCTTTATCAGCAACTCTAAGAAACAAGCCTGCTGTGTTAAGGTAATTAGTGGGTGCTGAATGGGATCCCTCACTTGGTGATTAAGTAATTGACATACAGCACAGTGCAGGGCATAGAGGGTTGTCTAAATTCAGAATGGATGCTGCTGCTGCTCCTTCCCACTACCATCATCACCACAGCCTGGCGTGGCTTTAGTGCCCCAAACCCCCCAGTCTGGCTGCTCTCTCTTCCTCAGACTGGTGACTCAGTCTTATCACCTTAAAAGTTTAATGCTTTAATTTTTGTTTGGCTTTAAAACAATTAAGCAAATGAGGGATCATCTCATGTGTGCAGGTCCTTTGGTCTCCGTGCAATGCGGCCGTGGCGCCTCCAGCCCTCAGATCTGCTTTGGTGTTGCTGTTTGAGAATGGGATGGCCATGGGGGGTGAAATGGATGAGGAGATGGGTGCTGGGGGAGGCCAGGGTGCTGCTGTCCAGCCTGACCCTCGGGAGGTGCAAGGGAACTGAGGTGGTTTGTGTGCAGGGGATGAGGGGACTGGATTCAGGACTTCCAAGCCCTGCCTATGGCACTGTTTGCTTCCTCCTCCCTCCGTCTTGTCCTCAGCCTCAGAGGCAGCTGAAGCATCCTAAGAGGCTATTGGGATGGGGCTGTGGCTGCCCCTGAGCAGCTCTAGTGAGGAGGCAGGGATCCTGTGCTGTGCAGTTTGTGTTGGCAATGGCCTCTAAAATGGTGAGGAAGAGTTGTTGTTTGACTTGAGCATCCCCTTCACTTACCCAAAGCTCAGTGGTAGCACTCCCCAGGAACGTGGACTCCTGGCTCCCACAGGATAAATGCTTTTGAGTACACAGGGTCAGCCCTGAACTGCAAATCCCGAGTTGTGCTGGGGGTCTGGAGTTTCTCCCACAGCCTAAATGCAGCAGATCTCCTGGGGCAGGAGCAGGGTGCTGTATGTTAAAGGGCTGGCTCACAGCAGGACTGTCCCTCTGTGTCAGGCTCTCAGGTATTTCTGGCACTGCCATCAGAGCTCCCACAGTGCCTGTTACTCACTGGTAACAAGGGGTGGACAGGAGGCTGCCAGCATGTGTTCCCTCAGAGGACACAGCCTGTTGTCACTTGGATCTCATCCCCTCCAGCAGCAGGTCTGGGTGGCACCTGAGCCATCTGTCCTCCCTTGCCCTACTACCAGAGGATTTGCCTTTGCTGGAAGAGTAGCAAAACCCTGTTGCCAAGGGGTAATCTTCAGGCTCTGGGGGGAGGGCTGAAGTCCTTACCTGACTGTGGCTTACCTCCCACGGCTGGGAAACCACCTGGTGTCAGAGAAAAGCTGCAGGGCAGGGCTACCTGTGACCCCCAATGACGTTTGTGATCTGCCTGGCTCAGGAGATTGGCTGGACCAGCCTGGGAGACAGGATGAGGAGACAAGGCTGGGGCTATTGTCAGTGGGACTGTTCCTCCAGACTTGGCTGCCTCCCTGAGCCCACTGGTGGGTGTTTCCAGCCCAAATGGCTCCTCCATGGGATCAATCTCTTTCCTCCGTCTGCTGCTGTTTGTAAGGCCACATTGTGGACTTGTCTCAGGGTGAGCAGGAAGAGAATCCAGGCAGGAGGCACTAATCACCCAGCAAGATCCCTGGATGAGAGGCAGATGCTGGAAGAGCAGGCTGATTCCTACCTGCACCCCGAGCAGTGCTGAGGAGCTCAACTGCCAAGTATCAGATCCTAAGATGATGGACTATCATGGATATCAGCCAGATCTAAAGCTTCAAAAAAATGGCAAGCCTTGTGGTATTCCAGCTGCTCATCCTGGGGATGCTCCCTCTCCCCAGGAAGGGTTGAGAAGTATGAAAAGCCCCTGGACCCTAAAGCTGTACTGAGGAGTCCAAGGACTGCCTGAGCCAAGCTGCATCTCTGTTTCTAAGGATTGGAACCTGGGCTTATTATTTTTTTTTTTCCTTTATTGACTCTGCTGTGTCACTGTTCTTTTATGTGACCTAGAAAAGAAAATTATCTCCCCCTCATACAGAAAGACAAAGGAACAGCTTAAGGCTCCAGCTCCTTGTATCCAGGGAGCATCAGGCAGATGGACACTGCAATTCAGCAAGGTGATGACACTCACTCAGTGCCAAAGTGTCAAGCAACACTGTCCAGGCTCAGTGGGGCTGGGCACAGCAGTGGCTGTGCTCTAAATCCCACTGCTCTGAGCCACTGGTGCAGCTGCCCACCTGTGTGTTCCCCACACAGAGACTCCATGGTGCCCCCAGGATACCCAGGGACAGAGCCACCCCACTGCTTTCCTGGCAGGGAAGGGCAGAACATCTCTGTGAGCATTTCTCCACATGGCTGGCAACCGTGGCTGAGCACTCTGGCCATGTCTGTCCAGGCTCAGCCCCATCTGTGGTGCACAGGCAGGGAAGCTGTGATGCTGCTTTGCAGAAGCCATCGGGTTTGACCTGTTCTGCAGTCACAGGCTGGTTTTTCACAGTCTCTTTATGGAGAAGGATGAACCAGGCATTAGCATGGGATGTGAGACTTGGTTGGGTTCCTCCTTCTGCCCGAGGCTTTTTGTCTGACCATGACAAAGTTGCTTTACTTTTCTATCTTTACAATGAAGATGGTATCTCAGGGCCCTAAGGAGGGTAAGAGTGTCCTGGAGAGTGCTGTGTGCACATCAAAGAGTGCTCCGTCTCTGCAGCAGGGGTTGGAGGCTTCTTACACATTGAAAGCTGTCCTGCAGCCTCCCTCTTTTGAAGTGCTTTTTCTGAGCTGGGTTTCATACAAGGCAAGAGCCCGCAGCTGTACCTTGTCTTGAACCCTACATACAAAGCCCACATACAAAGGGCTTGCTCTCATCCAAAGCATAGTCTGGCTTTGTGGCTAGCACTTTATTTAAATTGCTGTAAAGTGCAACTTGGCTAGTGAGCAACAGAAGTGTTGTCTTGACAGAACAGAGTGCATTAACTTAAGTACATTAAAACTTAGAAGTTGCTCAGAGCACAGCTGTGCCATGGGTGCCCTCCCCTCTCCTTTCCATTTGTTATTTATGCCTGAGTGGATGTGACAGCTACTGGGACTTCCCTCAGCCTGACAGGTGACAGAGCTGTCACATCTATTTTTGATGTGGCACATGTTTTTTTTTTTAATCATGTAAACAATAATATGCCCTGAACTCTTTCCAGCTTGGACCTGGTCTTCAGAGCAAGGGATAAAGCCAATTTCAGCTCCAGCAATATAGCTCCCACAATCTTTTAACACTCTCAGGTGCTTCTGGGCACTGTTGGATCCCACAGTCTGTCTCTTCCCGTTCTACACAGGGGCATGGCCAAGGCTGGGCAAGGGCTCACACCAGCGTGTGTGCCCTCCTGGATGGCTGGTGGCAGCTGGGCTGCCCTGAGCAGAGGGACAGGCTGGGGTGATGTGGTGTCATGGGATGGGCTTACACCACGTGGGCACCCAGCAGACACTTTTACTGTGGGCGTTGGGGATTAGCAGCTTCCAGGACACAGCTCAGGGGGTTAATTTCTTAAGCAGCAAGAAAAAGGGGAATCTGTCACATAAGTGCAGACACACACGACACAGGAGGCGCTTCTGGTTGTGATGAGGCTGTTTAGGAATTGCCAGTCTGGCTCCCAGTCAACTCTTGGTGAGCCTAAACAGTCAGGAAGAGTCAGTACTGGGAGCTACAGGGCAGACAGGCTCTGCCTCTTGCTGGAGACTGCTGGGGGTTGCTGTGCTGGGAACAGAACAATGCAGGGACACGTGATTGCTGGGCTAAGGCATCCACAATGAGCAGCCAATGCATCATGCTGGGCAGGAGGCCATAGACCAAAGTTTATAAAGCTTTATTAAACGTTTTGAACAGCTGTGCAATGAACAAACAATACTCTGGAAGTTTCACAACCTCATAGCTTGAACTGCCTCAGGACAGCAACAGCCACTTCTGCTGCTCTCCACCAGAAGACTGAAGGAAAGACAAACAGATGGCAAAGGGGAGGGAAATCTTCAAAGTTTAGAGGTAAGTGTTTTGTGTCAACCTCTAAGGTTTCTCACAAACCAACCTCTGCCCCAGGGCTGTAGGCCTGATCCACCAGCACCGTGGATTCTTGACATCCTTCTGCCAGGAAGCTGGAGACACCAGGCATCAGCCTCTGCCCTTTTCTAGTCAGTAGAACCAGCACTTCTGTCACCTCTGGCCCGAAACCATTATCTCTGAAAATGGCTGAAGCATTTACTGCTTCAAGCCATACCTCCACCTCATGGATCCTCTCCTGCCCTGCCCACACCCAGCCTTTCAGGCTAGCATGAGTTTTGTAGGGTAAAGTTCACAGTGACTTCCAAAATCTTGTGTCTTGCAGCATGCTGGTTCCTTCTCCCAACAGTCAATACCTTGGTAAACCTGGGACATGTAGTAGGAGGGGAAGAGAGTCTCTACTGCCTGTCAGGCTTTATAAAAGCAGCAGCATAACTGAGGCTTTCAGGCTGGGATCTTGGAGCAAAGAGTTCAGAAAGCACTTCGGCAGTGCACACATCTCTTTGGCAGGCTGAGCAGGAGGAGATGACTCAACTGCCTCTGGCTCCAGCAGCTTTTGGCCAAGTCCATTTGTGAGCTGTTGCACTCGCCCTTGACAGCAAGGTGGGAAGGCTGGCTCCCCACAGAGAGAGACTGAGAGAATCTTGTAGCTGTTCAAGCAGGATCAGTGGGCCAAGAGCCCTGAGTTAGACCACCATGGCCTAATGCAGACAAGTGACACACAACTCCAGCACTTCCAGCTGGGCAGGGGCCAGCAGCTCAGGCTTCCAGCAGTTCTCAGTTTAGAGGGCTGGTGTCTGTTCCCGGTGATACGGGAAAGAAAAAAAAAAAAGATTTCTGCTTCTAAAAAAGCAGGTGGTGCTGCCAGAGTTCACACAGTAAACAAGTTGAATTTCACAGGCAGAGTGGGAAGAATTTACCACTCCAGTCCACGCACAGTTACAAGAAATAGGTTGTCCTTACACCAGTCCCACACCCAACACCCCCCTCCTTCCCAGCCCCACCCCTTTTTTAAAAAGCAAGAGCCCTCAGCAGACTGGAAGATTATGATTTTCTAGGTGCCCACTATGTTGGGATCATGAGCTGATTCTGGCAGCTGGGATCCTGTGCAGTGATACAAGAAGCAGTTCCCCCAGCAGCTGTAGCAGATGAGGAATAGAGCTGCCAGGAAGACCAAGGCACAAATTGTGCAAGGTTTCCGTTCCAGGAGAAAACTGAGCAGGTAGAATCCCATGAACATTGAGTGACTGAACCACAATGCTGGGTTGAGGGGCTTGGGTATGAGCAGGACAGGTAGCAACCACTGAAGGCAGTACATCGTGGCTGGCTGGGGCCTCGTTGGCAGTAGCAGTCAGATGTGCTCCAGAACAGGCTCCAGCAACTCCTCCGGAGGGCAGGCTGCTCTGTAGGGAGGAGGAAATGTCAGACTCTCAGAGAAATGCAGGGGAAAAATCAACTGACATTTTTCTAAAGCTCCATTCATTCCCAAGCATCATATGCTGGTGGTTGAACTCCCAGTACTAAATTCTAGTGTGTCTTGGAGCTGGTGGAAAGCTTCCTGCTTTCCTCAGCTGGGGACAAGATCAGCTAAAGCTGGTACAGAAGTGTATCCTGTCCTCTGTTCCTCAGGCTTTTATCCAGGCTAACAAGTGAGACCCTTTTAGCACAGTGCAGGAACAGAAAGAGAGAGGTGGAAATGGGAAACAAGCTGCCACAGCCTTCCCTGCACACATTGATCCATGACAGTCCAACGGCTTGAGAGATGATATAAAGAAATACAATTGAAGGGTAATCATTATTTGGTGCTACAGAGAAGTGCTAAGGAAGCATTAATATAAGGAATTGTTCTGCACACAAACAATAAAGTCTTCCAGCAGGACAGCACCAGAGCAGCTACACATCAAGCTACCCAGGAAAGCCCTAGCAGCATCCAGGCTGCAAAACAAAGGGATGGACAGTCCCAGCTTAAAGATTTATAATCCTTGCCAAACAGCTAAAGTCAGATAAAATAAAGTATGTGAATAGATCAAACCGGGGGGACAGGCTCAAAATGGCAATTTCCGTAAGTGCTGTAAACACAGGATTTCCTCACTTGGATTATTATAAAACCCTCTGGAAACTGAGCTTTAAGGGCTTTCCTAGGCAGAGATGGCAGCTCACTACAAGTCCAGAAAAGCTGCTCCTACCTTAGCAATGACATTAAGTGTGTGCTTTTGTTTTTTCCTTTAAAGCACTACAAACCCCTTCAAGAATTTCAAATGGCTTTAAAAGCAATAAATGCCTCACCCCCAAGAAGAGTCTGGTGGGGACAGCCCCTTGCAGAAAGCCTTGTATCTGCAATTACTCAATGGAGCAGTGCTCCCTCAGAAGGATGAAGGGCTCAGCCGAGCTTGTTAGGATTACAGCTGGGGGGTGGGAAGGTTAGTAGGATGAAGGAGTGAGAATGTAAACAAACAGCACATTCCACTGGCTCCTGTTGGCAGGAGAAGGGATTTCCTGGCAAAGGGAGGGAGAATGAGGGATTGCAGAGAAAAGCCAAGAGAAAACCACACGAGGTTCTCTTCCAAAACAGCACTGAGGTCAGACTTGTCTCACAGGTAGTAATGGGCTCTGCTGTCAGCAGCAGGAAATGCTGCCATCCTGAGCAGCATGATCTATTTTACTTTAATGTTAGCAGGACAAAGCAGGCAAACATCCCCACCAGCACAAATATTATGTGGGGAAAGTACATTGTGCTGGTGCTCCTGCAAGGGAGTGTTTTCCAGCAGAGAGAGCAGCTGGAGTTCAATTAGTAAAACTAAGCTACAGCTCCATAGCCAAAGAGTAAGGAAAAAGTTATTTTATGCTGCAATACAGATAAAGCCAAGTCACAGAAATAAAGCTCCCAACGTTAGTCCTGTTTTAGGCAGGTCACTCACATCTTTAAGGGCAAGTCTAGTCCCAAGCCTTTCTCCCCCCCATCTGTAAACTGGAATTAGCTATTACTCATTTCATAGCAAAACATGCTGTCTCCTTGCCTTTGTGAATTGCTCAGATGTCTCTGGAGTAAACAATACCACAGAAGTACTAGAGAACGTTTTTTCCAACAGGAAGAATGGAGAGAAAAAGACCTAACAACAAATATTTGAACAGGAAGGTAATTAAACCCCATCACCCAACTTTTCAGTTCAGATTGCATTGAATGCAGCAAAGTTTCACTAAATCAATGATCTGCAGCTCCCTTAATCCCCCTGAAATGTTCCCTTCTTGAAGTTTCCTGCAATTTTTTTTCTCACAAGTGCTCCAAACACCGAGCATTGAAAATCATTCCCTAAACAACATGTTATGTTTTTGCTAGATCCAGCCCTAAGTTGCATCAGCTTGACTTCTGTGGCAATTTGTGTCACCTGTTCTTGAGACTTTAAAGTGCCTACTTTGCTTCGGATTTCTGTCTCTAGGGTAAAGAAATGGGTAAAGAATGTGTCAGTTAAGTAGCACAAGGCTGAAACAAAGAACTAGAATTTTTCAGAACTAATGTCACAAATCTCTCAACTCTAATAGAGTCATGTGTCACTATTAAGCCTTTAACCCCAAACTTTACAACTGACCACAGTTAGAAAATAATTATAATTTGTGTTTTAGCTATACTTTGTATTTCATAGTCTGGCCTTCTCACTCCTACAATGCTCTTGAGAATAACAGTCTAAATACTGAGTTGATTTTAAGTGTCTAAGCTTTACTTGTGCAGTTCCTACAAACACAAAGCCATCTCACAACAAGTTACTAATTTTTAAATATTACTATTTCCTGCAAGAACCAGTTGCTTGTAGCAATCAATACAACCACTGCAGAATAAAGAACCATTTAATAGTAGTTATTTTTACTACGAAGTTTCAATGCCAATGCACTTCAACCTGCAAACCTCTTGGATTTCTGCCAAATGCAGCCATTCAAACAGCTGCTCTTTGTATCTGTAAGTCAGTTTGCTTTTGTTCTCACATCTCCCTTCACTACCAACCAGTTAAAGGCTGAGGACCCTTTGCTATATCCCACAGCTGATCGTAGACCAAGTACTTACTCCTGGAGGCTGCTACAGCTCTGTCTCCCTCAAGAGACTTTCCACCAGTAAGATACGTGCTCCTCGCTGGAGACTCTCTGTACAGCTGGCACTGAGACCGAGTTCTCTTTACACTCTATTGATCCAAGAGAAACAGCACCTCCTGCTATCAGCTCTTTACTGAGCAGGGAACATTCTCCTTCATGCCCAGGACAGGCAGATCCTTCTGAAAGTCACAACAATATTTGGTTTTGCCTGGTTTCTCAAGCAAGGTGAAATCTACAAATTAAAGATTCCTACCTTGTTGTCTTTGTCCCCTCCTCACAATCCAAGCCAAACATTACCATATTACCACAGAGCAAATAACAACCTGTCACCCAACATGACTGGTTTCACAACTGCATCCTGTTTTCCCTCAACCAGTTGCTCTTGTTCTCCCCTGCCTGACTCTTGCCTCAGCCAGCCCAGTGTCCCGCTATCCCCAAACCTGCTCCTCATGTCACCTGATTTGGTGGCCACTCATGTTTACCTGACAGCTCCTTCCCACCTCCTCCTTTCACCCCTCCACAGCTCTTGGAGCCACTTGAACTCATTTCAGACTGCTCAGCAGCAGAGCTGGTGATGCTCCCTCTGTGGCCCAGTCTGATCTCCACGTGCTGCCAGAGCCTCCTCCTGCCAGATCCTGCAGGCAGAGGAGCAGCCAGGGGAGGTTCCCTGCACACCTCCTTAATGAGCAAGCACTAATACTTTTCCACATGCTTATTAGTTGGCTTCCATTGCATTCCCAGCCCTCCCTGCTGTCATCTTCTCTCCCAAAAACTTTCAGGTCCTACTGGTGTATGTTTGTGCGGAGGATTTTGGAATTCCAGTGCAAAGGCAGCAGCAAACCTTTCCCAAGCAGAAACAAAACTTCAATTATGACAGGTGTAGCATGAGTAGCACAGTGCACTGCTTTGCAATGGATCAGTCATGTTTTGGAATAAATCCATCTGAGGAGCTAGCAAGCTGTTCCTTCATATTCCACAAACTAAGCAATTAACACACTGAGATGTGTTCCTACACCATAGGTTTGACACCTCAGTATGTCAATACCAAGTCTGTATCTTTCTCAAGAACGTTTGAATTCTTTAACAGTACATTTACCCTGGAAGGGGAGAATAATCAGCCAGATTTTCCTAAGCACTTCAAGGGTAAGCTTGTTCAGACCTTACAAAGGCAGCCTTTAAGCCAGTGCTGTCCACAAAGAACTCCCCCAGCAGATGCTACAGAAAGACTTTCCCAGGCTGAGAGCTGAAAGGTCTGCAATAAAACACTGAGTAACCTTTTTATTGGGGTGTGCTGGAATCATCCTCCCCCCTTCCCAAAAGCTGAAGTCTCTGCTTGTGATGAAAAGCCACACTGGTTAGATAAAAGTCTCTCAAGTTATCCAGTGCACATAAACTGAAGAGGAAGCCTCAGGGATGTGTTTTTTACCTACAGTGTTCACCTGTCTGCTTAAAATTGTTTTAATCAAAAACCCTGCCACAAATATTAACTGATGGATGTGAGCAGTGCTTCACACTGCCAGTGCGTGTTCAAAACCAACTCAAATATCACATAGTACCCAAAACAGCTGCTGAAAAATACACATCTAAAGCACTGGGACAAAAAGAGAGGTGAAGAACTATCAAGTGACAAGTTTGAAGAGTTCAGCTAAGAAAAGTAACAGCAGACCAGTTTCCCAGATGCCAACCCTCTGTCGTAAACCCAAGAACCATAACTGCTCAAATTTTAAGACCTATTTGCAGCAGGGATTAACTTCTCTAGGGTTTTTTTTAGCCTTGCCACTATTATTTCAATTTTTTAAAAAGCTTTATCTGCTGGTATGACTCAGCTGGAAAGAGTGAGTCTATACTTTTTGGCAAAGGCCTTACCCTAGTCTTGGATCATGCCTTGGACACTTGATGCAGACTCAGAAATAGTGCAATGTAATCACAACAGTTCCCAAAAAGGCAACAAATCCTTTCCTAACCAAGACTTTGGGTTAGTGCTCTGATTTCTCAAGACAGACACAAGCCAAAGCAACTCACTTGGTGAAAAGTGGAGGCTCTCTGTTGAGCCACTCTTTTCACCACTTCCAGAGACATGTCCACTCCATTTGGACTGCAATGCCCTCACAGCACCAGAGCGAATCCTTCTCCACCCATGAGCAGGAAGGCAGAGGAGAGATCCAAACCAAAACTAATTGTTTTTCTCAGAGAGTTTGGAATGGGCCTTGAAATCATCAGGAATCAGAGGAGCAGAAGCTTAAGTCAGCCAGCTCTGTGATGGGAAGAGATGTCAGCAGTCACAGATGTCATCTGAAGTACTGCTACTTTCATTTGTACAAATTCATTGATTTTCAGAGGTCCTCATTCCCACCTTCTACTTTTAACTGCCAAAGATCACAACTTCCAAGCCCATTCCAAGATCCCTAAGAAAAGTAGTTTTAATTTGGACCTCTTCTCCACCTTTTGTGCCTTCAGCAGGCTTCAGACGTCCAAATACAGCCTGATAAGGGTGAATTTTCTGCATCTCAGATCAGGAAAGGCAAAAATGCTGTTTGAGCAGCTGTGAGGAGTCATGACCTACAGTTTGGAAAGACAAAGGTGACTGCACCACGACAGTATGACAATACTTGCAAGGTCCATTGAAACGTTTCAGTACCAGGGAAGTGTGGGAGAGTTCAGCATGAGCATGTTGTGGACTGCGTTTAAGAGCTTGTTTTTTCTCTTCTCTTGCACTTGCGTGTTTGGGATATCATGAGCAATGTCTGTATGACAGAACAGCTTGTAAACTCAGTTTGTAGCTGGCTCAAAGCACGTATGGGTGCTCGGGGAGGGTGCCTGGATAGTTTATGAATACAGCTGCAGAGCGCTGTATTCATAAACCATCACAGAATACCCCGGGCTGGAGGGGACCCACAAGGCCCACCCCAGCCCGGCTGTGGGGACAAAAGCTTGCCAGAGCATTGTGCTGCCCTGGGGAGGACCTGGCGAAGGTTTCCTTGCAGAAGGCGCTAAGGAGAGCTACGGGAGCAGCAGGCAGGGAGGGCAGGGCACGCACAGCGCTGTTATTTCCATGCTGGCCCGAGCTCAGGGTCGGTTGGAGCCTTTTCCACCGCGGCGCACGCAGGGCCAGGAGCGCGGGGCTCCTCGGAGCAGCGAACCCTTCCCCCGTTTCCCCCGGTTCCCCCGGTTCCCCCCCGGGCCCCGCAGCGTTCCCCGCCCCGCCGGCCGGGCCGCTCCCGGCCCGTACTCACCGCCGCCTCACGCCGCCATCCCGGGGCCGCCCGGCGGAAGGAGGGAGAGGCGTGGGGGAGCCGGGGAGGCCGCGCTGTCCCGCTGTCCCGCTGTCCCGCTGTCCCGGAGCGCTGCCGGCCGCGCTGCTGCGGCTCCGCCGGCGGGCGCGGGCAGCGGCCGCTCCTCGGGCGGGTCCGGCAGCGCCGCGCGGCCGCGGGAGCGCCGCGCCTGCTGCGCCTGCGCCGACCGAGCCGCGCCTGCGCGCGGGGCCGGGCTCGGCCGCGGCTCGTGAGGGGCTCTCGTGTGGGTGGGGTCGTGTAACGGGGCACGCTCGGTGTGCTCAGCCTGGAGCAGAGGAGGATAAGGGGGAGGCCTCAGCGCTGCTCACCTGCGAGCGCTTGGCTCTCCTGACCAGTGACAGCTCCTGAAGAAATGGTATAAAGCTGAGACAGGGCAGGTTTAGGCTGGATATAAGAAAAGGATTTTCACCCAGAGGGTGGTCGGGCACTGGAACAGGCTCCCCAGGGCAGTGGTCACAGCGCTGAGCCTGTCTGAGCGGTTTGGACACCGCTCTGAGGCACAGGTGGGACTCCTGGGGTGTCCTGTGCAGGGCCAGGAGCTGGACTTCAGGATCCTCGTGGGTCCCTTCCAGCCCAGCATATTCTGTGGTTATTATTAAATGCTGTTTGCACGCCCCATTGCACGCCGTGCTGTGCTGCCTCAGAGGCACGGAGCACAGCGGGGCTGGCAGGGAGCACTGCAGGCCATCGCTCACCCCTGCTCCGCTGGGTCCCCTCGAGCACGGCGCTCTGGATCGTGTCCAGGGGCACGGGAATATCTCAGTGGCAGCCTGTTCCACTCACCCATGCAGTAAAGTTCTTCATGTGCAGGTGGAACTGTTACCTCATCCCACTGTTCAGCACCACGGGGGAGAGCCTGGCTCCATCCTCGCAACACCCTCCCTGCCTGCTCACAGGCATTGATAAGCTCTCCTCTCAGGCGTCTCTCCTCCAGCCTAAACAACTCCAGCTCCCTCAGCTCCTCCTTGTAAGAGAGAAGTCATCTTCACAGTTCGCCCCTGGACTCACCTTGGGGAGCTCCATGTCTCTCCTGCACTGAGCAACCCAAGGGAGGCCAAGGAAAGGAAGAAAAGTAGTCCAGGAAAAACAAAAACCCCAAAGACCAAGATATGGCATTTTCACAACCATTTAAAACCCACCCAGCCACAGTTGCAGGACCACCCGCATTTCCCACAGTTTTCCACATGGCAGGCCTGTGCATTTTTGATAATTACAATAACACTTGCTCTCCCAATGACCCAACAAGCGTGTATCCAGCCCAGGATAGTTTCCCTCTTCTCTGCCATTATTCTGGGCTGACCTCTTTATGGGGTGTTTAAAATTCCTGGTTTATGGCACTGCATAGGAGTGGCCCTAAAGCCTTTGGCTGGTGCCAGCTCTGATGGCTCATAGTAAAAATAACTACTAGATGCCAGCTGATGATCGCCACGGCACTCAGGGGACTTTCAGGATCCTACCCAACACCAGCAGCAAGCAAGCTTCACCAGGGAACTGGGCTGCTCTGAGCTGCTCCAGCACATGCTGCTGATTGCAGTCTGCAGGATTGATGATGGATCGAGCCTGACACAACCTGAGGTCTCCAAATCCTTTTGCAAACTGCAATGTGAACCCTCATGCCTAAGACTGCTGTGGGAACTGCCTGCTTGCTTGGGTTTTGGTTGTAGTTCCAGCTTTCTATAAAGAAATTCCATTTTGCACTTGAAGCCTGGCTGGCAGGGCTGGGAGCTCCCAGCCCCATAGCACCTTTTTCAGCGGGCAGGAAGAGAGAAGGATCATCCAAAATTTGTATTTCAGCAGGCTCTGCAGGCTGCATGGAGCCATCCAGTGAAGTGGATCTGTAAGGAGCTGCAGAGTAAAAAGCATCTCTGGCATGGAAGGGAAAGGTAATCCCAGGCTAGTGGGAACAGGTTGTTCTGTGCAGGACAGGAGGCCACAGGGTTTTTAGGGCCTTTCTGTTCAAGCAGAAGCTTTTAAAGGACCTCTGGCTGTACTCTGCTTTGGTTCAGGGGAGTATTTCTTCCACTGATTTCCCTGTCCTTTGTTTAGCTGGCTGTAAGCAGTGTCTGTTGCAATCACAAAAGCCACAGCTGAGATGGAAAGGGCGTACCCCTGAAAGCAGCACTGTCAGAGGCCACACAGCACCACCACTGACCTCCCGCTGCTGTGTGTGAACCACAAGGTGGTAATTTGTATTTTGAGAAAATAACTGAGGAGCACAGTGGTGCCAGTGCATTCCTGCATTCCCAGCCCAGGGCTGGCTGCAGCTCAGCACTTGGGGTCTGCTGAGCCAAGGCTCCCCAAAGCTCCAGGGACACTGTGGGTGCAGAGGAGAATCTTGTGCTGTGGCAGAGGGGTGAGCAGGTGGAGAGTTTCAAAATCCTCCAAATAGAAGCTGTGAGCAAGAGAAGCTTTTGCCTTTGAAATAAATAAACCCTTGCTGTTGGTGAGGGAGCAGGCATTGACCATGCCCAACAATTAATTTGCAAACTGGCTTCAATGTGGCCAAGTGTGACAGGACACATATGTGAAACATGGCAACTGTGAAAGGTGAGATGGTAGAGCAGATGAATCCCTCTCTTTTCTCCAGATCAAACCCCCTTGCCTGGTCCTGCCTGCATCAAATCCCAGCTGATCCAGGCAGTGTGCTACAGATGTGGCAGCTCAGTCTTAGAGGGTCAACTCTGCCCATGAGCTGAGAAAGCAAAACCAATCAGGAGCAGCACAAATGTACAAAACACTCCAGTTTACTTCCAGCACCATTCCCAGCATGTCAGTTACACCTCTCCCAAACAGAAGTCTTTTACTTTTCCCAGTCCCACAGCAGTGCAGTTCAGTAGTCAATGGGCTTAGAGCCATTTCCCATCTTAGCAATGGAAGTGATCTCTCAGCCTATTGGATCCCAAAGAGAGTTCCCAGCAGCAAAACAGAACAAGCTGCTTCCAGCAAGACAAGAGGCAGCAGTGCTCTGCTGTGTGTCTCCCCACAGAGCCCAGCAGGCAGTGCTGGCTGCCCTGGCTCCTCTCAGAGTGGGGGTACCCCCCTGAATTTTCGGATGAGATTGGCCAGCCGCTTGGCCAGCCTGCCCCGGCTGGGCTCCTCTACGTGGAACGTTCTGGTCAGCAGGTTGTAGAAGGAGCCGTAGCACACGGCCACCACGGTGCAGGTGAGGCAGATGACATTGTAGGGCATGCTGAAGTCTGGTGTTGGCAGGTTCACCAGCAGCGGCTCCGTGTACAGGCGCACAAAATAGCTGGAGCCATCGGAGGAAGGAAACCTGGAGAGTGGAAGAAGGAAAGGCGGGGTCAGCCTGCACAGGACCAGTGCTTTGTGCTCACCAGAGAGGATGAGAGCAGCCCCAGCCCACAGATTGTGGCACAGCCCCACTTCCCAGCACCAGCACACTCACAGCGAGGCGAAGAGAGGGCTCTGCTCCACATCCATGTCCTTCATTGCAGTGACACTGGGCACCAGGGCACTGAGCACAGATGAACTAAAAGCACAAAGAACACCCCAGTGTCAGTCCTGACAGCAAAGACATCTCCAGAGACCTGGGCAGTAAGTCTTACGCAAAGCCCAGAAAGAGATGAGGAGCTGAGGAATGTCATTACCCGACATAAAAGCCATGATTGGGGTCAGGTGGGTACTCTGTCCACTTCAGTAAGGCCCTCTCAAACTGGATTGTGATCTTGGTGACGGAGTTGGCTGGCAGCTGGATCAGCATTTCCAAGAGGTGAGGCCGTCTCCGGTCCTGGGCTGGCTGGTAGTGGATGTAACCTAACCCCAAAGAGATTTCAGCAATGGTACCAGGGGAACCATGTCCAATCTCACATTGCCTGGACATCTCCCATGAGGTGGGTGCTCCTGCTTCCACTGCCCTGAGAGAGGTTTTCTGGGCAAGTGAAGATGTACCCATAGTAAAAAGCATGTGTTAAAGCTAAATTTAGTTGGTCTTCAAAGCTACTGACCCATGACAGTCAGGTATTCATAAGGAAAGGTATAAATGCAAAATAAAACCCAATCATCAGTTAGCTTCCTGTGCTACAAAAATTAATTCATGTTCGTTTAAACCTTATTGGATTATGAAATACCATCCATGTGCCTCTTATAAATAAAACAGACTTAATGGTCTCATCTGCTGTGAGCACTGAACTTGGGGCTAGGAAAACATCTTAAAATGTTTCGTTTGACAATCCAGTTTCCCAGTGATCACTGGGGCCTGAGGGAGGGACTAAACCATCTTTGGAATGAGCTGCTCATGCCAAGGGAATTGGGTGGCATGTCCTGCTTGGAGAATTCACTTACTCGGCTTGTTTTCCTTCCCTTTGGTGATGATAGTCAGGGTGTGCACGTAGAGCCGCAGGTACCAGGGCACAGTCTCCAGCAGGATCACGGGGAAGGCTCGGTAGGGGTGGGTGTTATAGATGAGGGTGCAGATCTCCCCGGTCTGCAGCCCATACCCCCCCACGTAACGCTGAGCATGGAGTGTGGGAATGGGCATTTCCGCTGTGGAAGAGGAAGGACAGGAGTGGGGTGATTTTCAGCCCTGGAGCCCTGGCCAGTGGTGCAGATGAAGTTCTGCTCACTCACAGCTGTCTTGAGGCCGCTTCCACTTCAGCTGCACATTGAGGCTGCGAGATGTGTTGAAGAGCGAGGGGCTCAGCAGGTCATAGACAGCATAGGTTTTCTTTTCTCCTTGGACAATAGCTTCATGTACTGATGTTGGAGGTGGGGACACTTCCAGTAGCTCCTTTTCCTTAGGAAAGCAAACGGACTGTGACCTTGAAGAAACTAGCAGCACTGGGCAGAGTCCCTCCAGGTAGCCCTGAGCTTTGCCACCCATCAGCCAGATCCGTGCTCTTGCTAATACCACCAGGCTCATCCCCTCAGCCCTGCTCAGAACAAGGAAATCACCTCCCTTTATTAGCCCCTGAGAGGCCAGCCCATGCAGAGGTTGGAGGAGAGGATGTTTCAGAGCCACATGAAGTGGCTGACCTGAGGGAGCAGAGCATCCTTTCTGGCCCATGAGCTTACCTTGTTCTTAGGGGAAATGTCAACGTAGACTTTGCTCTGTGATGCCAGAGGACACGTGTCAGTCAGTGTGCGAGAGAACATCTTAAAGAGGGACCAGTCTGTGGAAAGCAAGGTCAGGTAGCAGGTCAAGTGCTGCAGGCTGGGACCACTCGAGCACAGCCACCATGTCTTACCTTTCTTTCCTTGGCCACTGGAAAAGAAGTCAAAGACCACAGTGAGGGTCTGTCTGAGCTCCCAGGATACAGCCAGACAGGAGGCATCCTGGACAAGAGACAAGCAGCTCTGATCACACCTTCTGGAGGGGGAGGACATCAGGATGGAGCTGGAACTCCACCAGGACTGCAAGATTTCCCTTGGGGTTACCAGAGAAGCAGGATGATAGCTGTGTTAGACACAGTGAACCCATCACAGGGTAGCTGGGCAAACCAGTGTGACACCTTGCAATGTGACAAGTGGGGTTTGAATTTTCTCTTGGGGTGTTCAGGGAGGGAGCTGAGCCCAGCACTTACCCTGCAGATGGGGCGGATGTGCACTGCCTGGGAGTGGTAGCTGCTGTGGAACAAGCGCTCAGCCTTCAGCAGCACAGCAAGCCCAGCCTGCAGGGAGCAAAGGAGGAACTCAGCTCCTGCCCTGTCCTCTGCTCCCACCGAGAGAAAGGCCCTGAGGGACCTTCCCAGTGCATACTCCCAGATTGCTGCTGGGAGCCCAGGTCCATCCAGAGTGGCCCATTTAGGCAGCAGGACTTATCTTTACCTTTGAGCCACATGGCAGCAGCTTCTTCCAAGGGGTGAGGTTCTCTGTGCAGACGACTTCCCGGGGCAGGACAGCGTAACGCAGGAGATGGTGATCCGTCCCTGGGCAGGGAGAGGGAGCTCAGCAGGCTGGGATTGCTACAGGCATCAGCACAGCAGCAGATCTGTTCCACCCCCAGTGTGTACCCCACATCCCACCACCCTCTCAGTATGCCTGAAATGCCATGAGCTCCACCAGAAGTAAATCCCACTCTGTTTGGAGCGATTGGAAAGAATGGGTAAGGATATATCCTAGCAGATCTTTTTTAATGAGTGCCTTAAATCCTGTAGTCCTCACTGTTTCATAAAACACTTTTCATAGAGACAGATAAGGGCCTGGGAGCACCTGCCATGTACTCCTTGTGGGTTCTTCTGTTTAAATCCAAGCCTTGTTTGTAGGGAGAGGAAATCCTTCCAGGGAGAGGTTAACAGATGCTGTTGTACACACCCAGACCCAGAGTTGTTGCAGGACCTGCACCTGGAATGCTGGCAGTGGCACAGGGCAGAACTGAAGTGAGAGGGCAAAGCCAGGCTCACCATTGGCTAAACCCAGGGGTTTGAAGGATGCTGTTGGAATCACTGTGTTGGTCGAGTCAATGAAGTTGAGAGAAGCACAGAATATTCCCGAAAGGATGTTACTCAGTTCTTTCCAGGCTTTGTCAACACTGTGTGAGAACAGACACAAGAGATTACTCAGCAGCTCAAATCCTTGAAACAACAAGTGTTAAGTCAGTAACATTCAGAAAATACAGGGGGGTGACTACACTGGATTACCGAAGCTGCATGGAGCAGAGAGACTGCTGGGCTGGCACTCCCCTCCCCAGCCCTCTTGGTATTTTATTCTGACACATGAAATTTAAGGGACACACAGCAGGGACTCACAGGTGTCACACAGCCAAGGGACATGATGGTGGGCACAGCTGGCATGTGAGGAAAGAGGCCAGGGGAACAGGGAGCATGCAGGAGGTGATGTGTGTGAATGGGGAAGGGGCTGTGAGACCCAAAGCAATGCCTTGGTGCAGCTCCAAAGGCTGACTGGACCAGCCGACAAGGAATGGGACACTTGCAGGGAGGAGAGAGCGCTGTGAGTCCCCTCAGGGCTGCTACAGCTTGAACAGGGGTGGTGTGCTAAGGGAGACGGTGACAAGTATTGGGTGAGAGTCCAAGGAAGTGAGTCATGGATGAGAGGTCAAGATACAGCCCCACTGTATTAGTGCAGCAAAGGGTCCTACAATCCCCTCTGAACCCTCATCCCCCATGCTGTTTTCTCACGATGACACGCACACCCACTGCTTGGTTAGATCAGTGTTATTTCTCTCTGTGCCACCGCTAAGTGCTTGTCATCACAGAGCCCACAGGGGAATTACTTGGGCCTCTAGTGAACAAGGATTTGCCCTCAGCACCACATCCTATCCTGTGAACGGATGGGGTATGTTCTGTGGGCTTTTTAGAGCTACTTCTGGGCTCTTCTTTCCAGCAGACATTTTCAAGCCAGGAGGCTCACTCACACACCGTGGCTGCCTCAGGAGAGGCGAGCAACAGCTCCAGTGGCCACAAAGGGGACCCAGAGGGACAGATCCACGGCTGGGGTACCTACTCGGTGACCGTGGGCTGGAACCAGACCCAGAGCTCAGCGCCAGCGGGTGCCTGGAGGGGCGGCTGCCCCCAGTAGCGGGTGCGCCAGAAGCCCTGGGTGAGCGCGAGGTGGAGCTCCCGCACGCCCAGCGCTGCCACCAGCCGCCCCAGCGCCTTCGGGAAGAGCCTGTAGTGAGAGACTGCGGGCAGCGTTAGCCCCTGCCGGCCTCATCCCCCGATCGCCTCCCCGGACATCACACCCGGCACTGCTCCTGCCTGCGCCATCGCGCACAGCCCGCGCAGCGCACCCGCACCCGTCACCTCACCGCCTCTGACGTCATCGCACCCGTGACGTCACCGCTCGAGTCAAGCCATCACGTCGCGTGGTCCCTCCGCGATAGCCCCGCCCCTGCGCACCGCCCCAGCCAATAGCGGCGCGGTCCGCCCCCGGGCCGACCAATAGCGGCGCGGTCCGCCCAGGCCGGGCCCGCCCTACCTGCGCCCCGCTGCAGGTCCGCGTCCCAGCGCGTGCGGAACTGGAAGGTGGCGGCCACATCGCCGGTGGGCAGCGGGCTCAGCAGCAGCTCCTCCCGCAGCGCGTCCCGCCGCTCCCGCCCCGCGTCCGCCCGCCCGGGCCCGGCCGCCGCCGCCAGCAGCAGCAGCAGCACCGCCGCCGCCATCCCGCCCCGCCCCGCTCCGCTTCCGCTTCCGCCCGCGCCGGCAATGGCGCTGCTTCCGGGGGCGCCGTGGAGGTGCTGTGCGCGCCCGGGCCGCGGGGCTGACCCGAGCTGGCCCGGGAGCTGCTGAACGGAGCGAGCCGGGAGCCCCGCGGGGAGAGGAGCCGGCCCGGCTGTGCCTGCGCCGGCCCCAGCCCGGGAGCGAGCGGCAGCGCTGTCACAGGCCCGCAGGACAGCCTGCGTCGGGAGGGACCCGCAGGGACGATCGCGGCCAGCCCTGGTGGCGTGAGAGGCGCTTGGACGCTCTCCGAGGGCTCCCTCTGCCACTCTGAAATTGGTGCTGCAGGGGAGGCAGCTTGGGTGGTGCCCTGCGGGCCTGGCTGTGCCCAGGACGCTGCGAGGACTGCGCCTATCCCCAGGTGGCTTCACTGCTCCGCTCTGCCTCGGCTCCTCTCCGGAGGGCAGCGCCTGTCTCCGGTGCAGAGCCACCCGGGAGCTCCCACACCGCCAGCCCGGGGCCGCCCCGGCGGGAGGGAGCGGCAGCCGCAGCAAGGCAGCGCCGGCGGTGACGGTCCGATGGAGCCCACAGCATCTCCTGTTCTCCCGGTGATGGTTTGCTCCAGTAGGAAATAAGCATAGAAATTATAGCAGCGTGTGGTTGCCCCTTACCAGCTGCTATACCTTGTTAATTACCCACTTACTTCCTCAGATCTAAGGTCCTCATGCAACGGTAACTTAAAACTGACAATGTGATTCAGTATTTGTGAAGAATAAGGAGTTACTTTATATATCTTTTTACTCCTCTTGCTAATTAGTGACATCACGTAAAACCAGCAAGTCAGCGTGCCCAGAAAAAAAAAAAAAAGTCATATTTACATAATATTGTTGGTTTTGTTGATTTTTTTATACTGGGCAGCTCCTTGCAACAGGATACTAGTAGGTAATAAAGGTTTAGATGCATTTTGGAAGTGATGAGCCAAATTAAAGGTAAAAACATCCATCCAGAGCTGTTAAGTACCCTGTACCTAGGTAGGGAGGTCACTGTCCTACAAGCTGAAAAGTCATGAAGCTTGGCCCTTTTTTCTTGATCAATTTCCCAGCTTAAGGCAGCACATGCAACACATTTATGCTGCACTCAGATATGGAGCACTCCAGCTGGTCCCACACAGTGTTGGTTGACACAGGAGCAGTGCAGTAATGTCTCAACACCCCCTGAGAAGCAGCCAGGATAAGGAGCATTCCCTGGCTTCTGTTCCTTATCTCCCAGACTCCTTTCCCCGTGGTGGCCACGGCTGTGCTGATGCAGGGGCAGGGACAGCACTTTCCTGGCCTCTGGCCACTGATGGTGGCAAGGGGCCTCTGGCCAGCTGTGTGCCCAGTTCCTCTTGGCCTGGCCTGCAGGGGCTGTAAAGTGGCCTCATGGTGAGGAGTGCAGCACTGGGGGAGCAGCTGCTGCTGTTCTCTGCTCGTTTGTGTGGGAAGTCCCCACTGTGCTCATGGGGAGCACCCCAGCCCTGCTCAGGCCAGCTGTGTCTGTGCTGGCTCTCTCTGCAGAGCCCGAGTTGCTCCCCATCGTGCCCTGCTGTACCAACAGCCCTTCTCTGCCATGGTCTGTGCTGTCTGTTCCTGCCCTGGGCACGGGAGCCATCCCTGGGCTGTGCAACAGGAGGCACAGTGAGCACACTGGCTTTGCACTGCTCTCCATCTGCAATCCCCTCTGAACCCTCATCCCCCGTGCTGCTTCCCCCAGTGACACACACACCCACTGCTTGGTTAGATCAGTGTTATTTCTCTCTGTGCCATCGTCGAGTGCTTGTCTGGACAGAACTTTTGTCAGTAGGGCAGGGGGAACTGGGTTCTAAGGGATGGCTTTCTGGAGGTGGTGGGGCTGTGGGATGCTTAGCATGTTGAGGGGTGGGGGGGGTTGGAGCAGGGAGTGTTAGCAGCAAAGCCTGAAGAGTTAATTTTGGGAGCTTACAACACCCCTTTCCTTCTCCTTCAGCTGCCAGGAGAACACGTGGAGGGAGAGGAGGGGAAAACCATCTCTCCCCTCTGGCAGGGCAGCAGTCCAGGATGGGGTTTGCTGGGCACCAGCAGCTTTCCTTCTGGGCTGGTGAGTCCGTACAGAGGAGGCTGGGAGCAGGGCAGAGCTGCCTGCTAGCTTCTCACCACCTGCTCTTTGGGACTGTCCTCCTGCAGGTCCTCCTCATCCGACTGCACCACGGGGGTCTCGGCCCCCTCCTCGCTGGTGTCCAGGCTGTTCAAATCCGTGGAGGCAGAGGACGTGGAGGAAATGCGAGACTTGCTCTCAGCTGCGTTGGGCACTTGCAGGGTGATCTCCTCTGGACACTGGCTGGCATCTGCCCCTGGAGCAGAGAGCAATATGAGAACGAAAAAGGCTCTTGGAGGTTTATTGCTGCCTAAGCTTCCTGGATAGCCCCTCCAAGACTCACTCTTCAGTGGGCTGTGCACTCCTGACTGCTCCCCATGTGGCTGCTGCAGTCATTCCCACCTCACACCCCCAGCTTGGCTCAGGGCAGTTGCTGCACATTCCTTCCCTGTTTTTGGCAGTGGATTCTCTTCCATCTTGCCTGAAACATGGCTCAGAGCCATGCTGTGTGAGGCTGTTGGCTGCAGCAGGCGAGGAGACATTTGATTTGACCTCACTACAGTGTGTGAGTGGGGAGGAATGTGCTGGCACCCCTTGCTTTCCCTGCAGACCCCAGCCCAGCTCCCTGGGGTCTGGCTAGGAGGTGGAGAGGTTCTGCAGCCTTCCTGCTCAGCACAATGAGCTCTGCAGCATGGAGGGGACCTTGGGAGTTGTGACAAGGCCCTGGGTGCTCCAGAGAAGCTTCAGAACAAGGGAATTGGACTCACAGTCTTTGGAAAGTGCCTGGGCTCTTCTGTCTTCTGCAGCACAAGGAATTTACAGGGGTCTGTATGTCTGGGCTGTGGAGGTGGTTACTGATGTGGAACAGCCCAGTATGAGGGTTGTTCACACACCCAGCACCAATGTCTGCCTTTGGGTGGATCTGCCCACAGGGTGGCTGGGGCTGAGGAATGACTCAGTGTGGGCACTGCGGGCAGGAAGGGCTTCCAACCTGGCCCACAAAGGGCTTGGGACTGCACATACCTGGCAGAGACCCAGCAATGCTGCTCTCCTCTGTCCCACAGCCCAGAAACACATCCACAGTGTCTTGGTCTGACAAGTCCAGCACATCCATCTGCTCCAGCATGTCCACGTTCACCTCCATGGAGGAAATGCTGCCTAAAGGGGCTGCAGAGACAGAGACCAGTGAAAAGGTGAGTGATAGTTCCAGGAAAAGGGCACCATCAGCTCTGTGCAGGCAGGACCCTGAGGTGGGAGACCAGCCTTGCCACAAGGAACTGAATTCTACTTGCTGATAAGAGGTCCCAGAAAAATCATGTTTCCTTGAAAAATCCCTCTGGAAGCCCCTGCTGTGTCACTGCAGTCCTTGTCCCTGCTCCAAAATGCAGCCAGACTCTACAGGGCACCAGCCTGGGTACCCATATGCCTTCGGTGAAGGGGTGTGAGTAATCCATGGCACACCCACACACAGCCACTGTGGTCCCGTCTTGGCTCAGGACATGCATGTCCTGTTTAGATGGGGGTGTCCCTCCGATCTCCAACCCTGTGTCACTGTCCTCTGGAACACCCCCTTTACACTGGGGATGTCCCTCCAATCTCCAACCCTGTGTCACTGTCCCCTGAAACACCCGCTTTACACTGGGGATGTCCCACCAATCTCCAACCCTGTGTCACTGTCCCCTGAAACACCCACTTTACACTGGGGATGTCCCACCAATCTCCAACCCTGTGTCACTGTCCCCTGGAACACCCACTTTACACTGGGGATGTCCCACCAATCTCCAACCCTGTGTCACTGTCCCCTGGAACACCCCCAGCCCCATGCTGGTGCCCACAGCACGTACGTCTCCGGTGCTCGATCTGCAGGTGAGACATTGGGAAGAAGAAATCCACATCATGCTGGAAAACCTCCTCAAAGAACTTCTGCCGGTCCCGCAGCTTCAGCTGCTGCTGCTGCATTTGCTCTGCATCCAGGTTGCGCTGGGCCTGCTCCATGTCAGCTGGGGAGAAAAGGTGAGGAGAGTTGAAGCAGGCAGGGCTGTCTGAGCCCTTCTGCCTGCCCCAGCTCACACTGCATGGCTGTACTGCATGGTTGGTGGTTCCCTTCTGCTCTGCTTTACCAGCACACATTGGTTTAGTCACTGTGGATAGATGTTGCACACCAGAAGAGCAGCGTCACCAGCACTTGCTGTGCTGGAGCCTCAGATCCCTCCCCTGAGGTGCAGGGCAGCCAGGAATGGAGAGCTCATCCACTGCGCTCACAACTGCTGAAGGGAATTATCAAGGGGGAAGGGGAGCTGGTGTGAGATCAGCCGTGGTTTGCACACTTCCAAGTTTCAGTTTCCCTGCTACCAAACAGAGGGTGTTCGTGAATGCTAACGAGCAGGGGAACTCCCAGGGTCAAGAGCTGGCCTTAGTGCTCCAGGCTTTCTGGGCTGAAGGATGTATAAGGAATGAAAGGAACTGGCAACCCTGTCACCCCTACGCATGCACAGCCTGCCTGTGCACACCCCCGCCACCACCGTCACTATAAATGCAGCCGCACCCACGCTCCAGGCTCCTGCTCACATCCCCACTCACAGCCAGCTTGGCTTCTGCCTGCACAAACATTTTCATTCCTGTAATTCCTCAAGCAGTTCACTGCCGGTGCTTGTGTCCCCAGCTCACGGGAGGGAGTGATGGGAGCCCTTGGGCTGTTGTTGAAGGAGCTTGTTGCTGCATCCCCGGTCTTGGTTAACTTCCTTTTGCGCTGGGTACCCAAAATAGCAAGGACTCAAGTGGCACAGAGAGGCTGTGGCTGGTGGCCCCAGCTGTTCCCAGGCTGGTGCTTGACCTCAGCCATTCCACATTTCCTTTCTGCTGCACTTGGCCCAACCAGCACAAGGAAAATGTGA